ATGAAAATGACATATTTATCTCTGGGCTCAATTCTAAGTCAGTAGACATGCTCAGATCAATTCTATAAATCTAAATCTCTTTCCAGATGGTCATGTAAGTAATTTATGAGTGCCAGCTTGGCTTGTTTAAATTGCTTTTGTGGGTGTGTGCAGTACTGTCACTTCTCCAAGATCTAACTATGGATTAGTAAAGACAATAGGATTCATTACCAGTCATGACAGCTGCAGTCTGTCAGCACTTAGGAGGACGGAGGTTCTGAACATTCAGTAGACATGTTCACATTGATAAAGCTGAAAACACTGTTTCACATAAAGTAGCTTGTCTCTGGTACTTCGTTGCTAAACAGCCGTTACCCAATTGCACAGTTTAAAAAAAAAAAACTATGACTTTGTTATCAGCTATTCCTCTGTCTAATGTAGCTCCCTACCAGTACCAGGAATGCTTTGGGTAGGCCTTGCTGATCCAGCATTGCATTGCTGGAATACAAGACAACCCTTACCAGCAAATATGGGCACAACTGCTGATCGAAGAGCATCGTCAGCAAAGCACCGGGCTGTTTAACCTCAGCCTCATCCTTGTCCGTTGTTTAGAAAGACTGTACGCAAAGCACAATGGCAAATTTCTGTATTACACTGGTAGCTTTGTACCAGTCACAATGTCATATTTGTTATCTCTTTCACAAGTAAACTCACAACCACACATCCCTTATTATATCCCACATATGCAGTATGTTGTTAATGAGGAGAATGAGAACTAGACATGAGCTTTTTTATTTCCGACAGACCTATCATGAGTGTGGCATGATACTGTATATAATCCAAGTCAATGTACAGTATATACACCCATGTTGTTTATATCTGACCTATGTACAGTGTATTCAGACAAGAATGTTTCTTGCCAATTTCTAAGTTGAGAGAGAAAGAAATTCAGTTGAATGAGTTCAGTTGAATACTCTTCTTGTGAAATGCCAAAAGACGAGCACAGGTTTGTCTGACACAAATGCAGCCGACGATGTTTTTGTTTTTTTGTAGATGATCAATATTCAATTTACAATTGACACATTTTTTCTAGCCACCAATCGTTTTTTTTATAAATACATAAAGATTTCAGTTTTAATCTAAGAACTAATGCAATCACGCTCCTTCCTCAAGGCATCAAAATTACCTTGAAGAAATTCTATCCATCCTAATGAGGTTGTTTAATGATCGAGAAAAGAGAGTAATCCTGAGGAAGAATCTGCTAGGTCGTTTGTACACAATCATGAGTCTCCGAGAGTAAAAGTCCTCAACTGCATAAACCTTTTCACTTCTATTGAAGGGAATTTGAAGTTAATCTGAAATACGTATAGTATTTCTGGACAATTAAAAGTACTTGTAAGAGTGACTTCCTCCTACTTCCTCGGGTTCCTCAAATCAAATAAAAGATCTAATTTCATAAAATAAGAATATCTACAATGATTCGGATATTAAAAGAGTGCGGTTTTCTGTTCAGAACTGTATAAAGACAGGGATATTAGTTTTTTAATGAGAAGGGGAGACCACAGCATGGTGGGAAACAATGAATTAGCAAACAACCTTGTTCATACCTGATTACAGTCAATCGTTTTCTTATCTGGGGTTTTATGTGCCGATATGACTGAGAGCCTAATGGGCTTTGAAGGAGTTACAAAGCAAAGTTGATACTGTCAGACTTATTATCAAGGTATGTATTTCCATTTTATTGGCAGTGTTCTATTAACCTCAACACCCAGGTTTCCTGTTACTTAAGTCAGTTACTTTGATACTGTACTATGCAGTGGTATTACAATTCTTACAGTTTAATTCTAGATAAATTATCTTTGCAGAAAGGTAAAAAAAAACCCTCTGTGCTCATTTTTGCCTGCACTGTCATAGCATTAATAAAACTGCAATTTTTTTGTCTTTTGTAATTGTCTACTATAGAAAGCTGGCAAACTACTAGGGAACCAAAGTAAATTTAATCAATGAGGCTGCGCATGTCACCAAAACAACAAATTTATAGCTGTGTTAGACACTCGACAGCACCCAAGAATGCGCTTTCAGATTTACCTCTTCTCTGATAATTCCCCTCTTTCTGGACTGGCAGTCCTCACATCTATATCCCTCTGTTGCTGTATATCGTTGACATGAGTTGGGGTGTCTGAAAGTGCCGTGTGATTGTCATTCGTAAATGACAGGGTGTGTGCTGTGTAAGTATGCTATAAAGAATTATATACATACTTGATATAATAAGTGGAATATTGAATGACGCTTCAATACTGTAACATTACCCACTATATGCTGTCTTACCTTGGGCCATGTGATATGTTGTACTTGAGAACAGACCAGTGTTTAAGTTGCAGATCAAAAGCTCATGTTCCTAAAAGAGTGGAGTCTAAAGAATCATATCAGTCCTTGATAAGGTGTGTGATCAAAGCTGGACATTTGTAGTATGGTACATTTGATAAACCACAATAGTAAAGTAGTACAAAAGTAGTTTGTTATCAGCATAAATGACAATGGAACGTTTCATAAAGGCTCCTTAGTCAACAATTTGGGGACAATAGCGGTCTTTACAGCAGCTCAACTTTACCAGAATAAAGTCGCGTGTGTATGCATCACCTGCTTTTATACACTATCTTGCACTTTTGTGAAATGCAATCTAGATGCAGCTGAATATCCAATATAGGACAAGACTACTTTATGTTTGTCTTTTAGGTATTGCAAATATAATTGTTCCAAAATTTTCCAGAGACATTGTTGAATGACATCACCATAACCAGTTCGTCAACTAAATTTTAATTGATCATTTTCAGATAATACACTCCCTAAAATTTTAGATGTAGTGCATTTAATGCAAAACAATATTATGTTTGAATTTGGAAAAAAAAGTGAATGGAGTTAAAAGCAACTGGAAAGGTTTGTGACAATACATACTATCTCAACTTGCTTCATTAAAACCTACAGTACCATCCTAACTGTGGTTAAGAAAGATATGCAGAAGAAAAATATCCAGGAAAAGAGCTGAAATGGAACTTATGAGAACTCATAAAATCCTCTTGGTAATGTTGTGTTTAATAGCAGACTCACTCTCCAACATTGCCTGCCTGCTTTCACTAACAAGAATGGGAAATGAAGGGGGCAGGCTGGAAGGAGAAAAAGTAAAGTAACCCTGCTCTGCCATTACCAAAACAGGACAGGGTTACAGTTAAACAAAGATCAATACCCAGATTTAATAGTATCCACAATCCTAAATCAGAGAAACTAAAGGAGCAGATACACAAAGTGTTAAGACTTCTACTTTCAAGTCTTTGTCCAATGGCAGTTTACTTCCCCCATTCACTCACTCTCAGTTTGACATGAGTGCACTGGAACGTTTTATTTGGGAGCACTTCATTAAATTTCTTTGTATGATTATTCACAGTTCTTATTTTTAACAGTCATCAAAATAAAAAATAACATATTGTGATGTTGGGGTCTATCTCATTACAAATCCTAAAAGTAAAGCCCTAATAGCTTAACAGCAAAAAAAGGAGCATTTTTAATGGAGGCAAACATAGCTGGAATTTGGTTTCTGCGGGTGTTTTCAGATAGAAATCTTCTATCTGACGTGAAGCTAACAAGCCTAGATGCATTGAGGATAAACACTTTACTTTTTTACCTTACAAAAGGGATACATATCAAAATACAGATCTCCCTAATTTCCAAGGAAATAAACAGATACACAAGATTAAGATCGCTGCACTGAAAAGCAAGCTATTGATTTTTGGCTGATCTTATATTGACTTTTGATTGTCTTGTCTAAGTGGAATTGGAAATGGTCCTTTAAGGCAACATAAGATAAAAAGGAGAATTCTTTGGGTATTTTTTTACTAAGTAGATACATTTTACTTCTTTCTTTATTAAAAATTAATCTTTTTCAATGGTTTTGCTCTCTCATACAACTTTACTAATTCACTGCAAAAAGCAAAACTTTTTTGAACACTTCAGGCAGTATACAGTATATAAGTATATAAAATGATGTTTAACGTTAATCTAAAAAATGTTCCAAAACCCCATTAATTGAAAAGGAAATACCATTATTTGTGCATACTGTATAGGTTTTCAGAAGAATAAAACATGTGGATATTGCTTAAAATATTTTGATTAATTGATCATTCAAGTGTGATACCCTTGAGTGACCTTTACTGTTATTTAACCTCTAAATCATTTTGTAAGTAAAGAGAGGGTTGTTTGGGTACTTGTGATGAGCTTAATTAATCTGTTGAATCTTGGAGAACATCAAGAAAAAGAACAAAGTGGCCCACTTACCAAGAGAACAAGATCTGTGTGCCACTGGCTCAGCCCCTCAGGTAGTCTCAGCAGCAGTGGTGATGAATCAAGGTTCTGTCTGGGCCATCCTGATGTATAAACAGCAAGTGTGATACAGAGTTTCCATACGGTAGAGCAATTGTTGTCTACAGCAGACCAATTGATGCAGATGTGCCAGTCTGGTGTTTCTTGGAAGTTGTGTCTGGTTGCTGCAGAGCATCTACTTGTAGTGAGTGATAGCAGCCTGTTTGCACTGTGCTACATTGATCAAGTCCTGGGACCTCACTTGCTGCTCTCCCTGACATGACATCATTCCTGCAGGACACTTGTCCTCATGCTGCTCATGTAATAAGATATTTAATGTGAGATAGGAATGTGGCAATTAAACCTGGTTTCTCCACCCAGCAGACATGAGCTCCATTAACATTTGTAGGATGAGCTGGGATGACACCTGGCTCATAGAACAGGCACATGATGAAATTGACCTGATATGCTGTCAGCCTGTGACCTGTGATACATTTGCATGTCAATGTACTGTCTACTGTAAGTTCACAGACAATAGAACGGGGTGGAAAAAAATTATCTCTGTAATTTTGTTGGAGATATAAGTGTTTATTATTATTACATTCATTTGAAAGGCCGGTTTGAGTCCAACATGGAATTCTAAAGTGGCTTTTGGTTTTCTCTCGTAGGTATATGGCTATTATCCACCCTTTGAAACCCAGGCTGTCCTCCACCACCACGAAGATAGCCATTGCTGTCATATGGGTAGTAGCCTTTGCTTTGGCATTCCCACAGTGCTTCTACTCCAAAACAATATTTTCTCCCCCGCGGACTATCTGCCTGGTGGATTGGCCTGGCGAGTATGGGGGCAACCATCAGCTTGCGTGAGTGTCTGGGATTCAAACCTTCCGCCCCGAGCTCTGCCACTTCACATGGGGGTCTATTCTGCACGGAGAGAGAGTCAATGGCCAGTGAATGGGAGGGAAATGTTTTTCACCAGACTCTGTTAAAAAATGTCTACTTGTGCAGCTCTGTCAAAGTCTTTTGCCTAACAACACTGTCAGGTCTAAGATTCCAGTCTAAGGCTTGTTCAATCCCATGCATGGAGGCCTGCAGTCCAGCAGGCTTTATGGGGCTTTTTACATCTTCAACACCTCAAGAAAACTGTGAAACTGATTGATTTAGTGGAATTAAGCAGATTAGAATGGAACTGAAGTGAAAAGCTCCACAGACTTTCCCGGAAATTGGATTTGGTTATCATTAATTTAGAAATACATAATATTTGTGTATTTTGCGCATACACATGCTAACCCATCATCCCATTACATATCTCTCATCTAGAAGTAAAATGGTGCTCAGTAATGTGAATCCCCCTTATTAATGTCATCAACATTGACTGCTGCTCTTATAGTCAGATAAGGTGTGCCTTAAAGATGTATCCAGACCCTGGAAATATGTGGAAATATGTGGAAAAGAATGCTGTCAATGTAACGTATTGAAGTAAAAAGGTTTTAGAAAATGTTTAGATTATTTTGGAAATCACCTTGATTCTCACTGCATATTAAAGGAGACTGAATACTGAAGTAAAAGGTTAAGTCCTAATTTACCATATAAACTTAATTTATAACAGCCAAACTGGTTGGTTCTTTGCCTGTTCAGCTACAAGTTGAAAAAACAATATAGATCCAGGTATTTTAAAAGCTGATTGAGATCTGTAGCAAGTTAATGACTAATTCTGAAAACAAGCAAGAAATGCTACAGCTTGAATTTCTCCACAATGACGAGAAGTGCTGAAGGAGGTTGTCTTGTCTCAGGTATCAGATCGCTGTGATTATCCTGATCTACCTGCTGCCCCTGCTGGAGATGCTGGTGACTTACAGTATTGTAGGGATGACCCTCTGGGGCAGCGAGATCCCTGGCGAGGCCTCGGATCACTACCAGAACCAGATGCAAGCCAAGCGAAAGGTAAGTGGCAGATCCACTAGCGACCAAACCTGGAAGTCACTGGAGCTAAATCACCTATAAAATGCTCTGACTAATAAGAATATTGAAATGGGACGTCTTCTGCATAACAAAGAGAAGACAACAAGGGGACCCTAACCCAAACCTTAATTATAAAACTCAGGGAAATGCAAAATCCGACTCAACTTTTACTGTGCTCAAGTCCTGTTTGGTGATTACATTTTAAAGGACCTGATTGTAATGTTCAAAACCCTCCAAGACGTAGACAAAGTCAACCCTCTGGCCACCTCAACACAAACACATACTGGAGAATGCAACTGAGATGTAAGGGGACGTGCATCGAAGACCGCAAGCAGGAGGCACTTTTCTTTACACCGAGTGTGGTGGGAGTCTGGGACAAGCTACCCACTCAGAGTGTTGGAGCCCGTTCCCTGGCTTTTCCATGAGGTCCTCGGATTGATGAACAACTAAGAACAAAAAAGCATGTGTCTGAATGGGCTCCTCTCCTCTGTGACGATTCTTTCAGCATTTGTAGCTTTTATCCTCATCTCCCCCACTATTAGGGATGCAAGAACTGATTGTAACTCTTGCTATCAAAGCCAAGAGAAAATGGTCCTAGTCCTTGATCTAAAGAACCTCTATGATCAGATATGTACTACCCTAAGCACACATACATTTTAATGAATTTAGTTAAAAAATCTACAGAGTTCCTACATGTTATCCTATCAGTATTACATCCTAACATCCTAACAGGATAACTATTAGGATGTTATCCTAACAGGAACTTCTTTGGTCATTTTTGGTGCCATCCCCAAAACCAGTGATGACACTTGCATCACTTAGAGAAGACCAATAGTCAGTTATTAGCTGATTAAATCTTACAAATGTAAACTTCCTGATACATATGTGGAACTTGAAACTCTGAATGTCCCTTATTCCAGAAATCCTTATCAGCAGCATTGATTTGAATAGGAACGTAGTTAAATTTCAAAGGGCCTTTAAAAATAGAGGAGCCATCAAATTATAAATCCTTTTTTTTTCTCAGGTTAAGCCCATAGCAATGCGCTCTCTCTTTCAGGTTGTGAAAATGATGATTGTTGTCGTGGTGACCTTTGCAATGTGCTGGCTGCCCTTCCACTTGTACTTCATCCTGGGAAGCTTCATTGAAGACATCTACAAGCAGAAATACATCCAGCAAGTCTATCTGGCCATCTTCTGGCTGGCCATGAGCTCCACCATGTACAACCCTATTATCTACTGCTGCCTGAACCAAAGGTGCAGGAAACTTGTACAGGATGTCACACTGCAGACATAAGACACGCTAACCCATCATCCCATTACATGTCTCTTATCTTGAACTAAGATGGTACCCGGTAAGGTGAATGCTAGGACAGATGTCTTCACATAAGGACCCTTAATTAATGAGGACCTTATAGTGGATTGAAAAAAACGGGTATCAAATTTTCTGGAAGAAAAGAAACTCAAATTGATTGCAGGCATTCACTGTCTGGGAATCATACTTTTTCACTTGATGAATTGAATTTCCATGTTTTAGAATTGCATTTATTTGGAGATATTTTTAGGTTCTTTGACTGTCTAGAGAATTTAATAATCTGTGTTCTTTATTTTATTATTAATCATGCTAGAAACAAACAACTATAGAAATGTAATTGTATTCACTTGTAATTACAAAAGCAATACATATACTGTAGTTAACAACCTAAAAATGGAAAACAATTGCCGAACATTTGACCCAACATCTCTTCCTCCAGATTCCGGTCGGGATTCCGGAGAGCATTCCGATGGTGCCCCTTTGTCAAGATATCCGAGGAAGATGAAATGGAGTTACGAAACACCCGTACGCTTCGTCTGACTCGCAGTTACCGCACCGAAACTTCCACTGTGGTCAACCACAACTCTGCTGATCAGGAAGAGACTACAGCCAAGCTCATCAAGGCTTAAGCGGCTCCTACCCAGCGCCAGAAACTGCGAAACAGGAGAGTCCAAGCCTGGGAATGAGAAACGAATTTCTGTGAAGGCGTGTTGTCTGTTCCTTAAAGTATTTGGAAAGGTGCCTGTAGGGTAGAAGTGTCTGGAGAGGCTTCTGCTACCCCCCAGCAGTTAAAAAAACGCTCCTTGACTTTTCACTGTGTCTTCTGAAGTCATCACATCATAATGCAACAGGAAAAGAAAACAGAAGATAAAAGTTCTCACTCACTCGGTGATAAACTTATTTGAAACATCTCTGGTGTGCTCTGGGGACATTCCTACACAGACCACTCCAAGCACAGCTGCTTTTAAGGTCCAGGAGGCTTCCTGGCCTTTTTGTGTAAAAGATTTGGACCACCCATATAAAATGAGACGTAGATCTTCTTTGACAAGTCACTCAATAACTTTTAATACTACTTCTTCCCCCAGGAAACTGTGATAAAAACCTTACCTGACCCTCAACGTCCAATGACCGCAGTCACAACATACACTTACTCAACAGCAAATGCCTTTATTAAATCTATGTGAGAATGCACACCTTTCTATCAAACAATAAGCCAATAATCAATAGTGAATATGGGTGCAACTATTTACACAGATTATTTTTTTACCGATGTCTTCAAGGCCATCTGTGACGGGCTCTAGTGGCATGTTTATGGCTATTACATCCAGTCCGTAGGACAGCCTGGCACATTAACTTAACAAGGAATTCAAAGTTTATGTAGAATGACTGTAAATAGATATGTTAATGTAAATTTCTTGAAATACAAAATTAATGTACGACTTTTCTTTGCATTTGAAATTCTCGCTAAGCCTGCCCCAGAAAAAAAACAAAGTTCTGAAACAGGTTTCCACAATTGATGAATCAGGGTTTGTGAGATTTAGAAAACTACAGAACAAATCGTGGCAGAGTAATAGAAGAGAGAAATACAATAGCAGAAAAGAAACCGAATAACAGAAGAGAGAAATAAAGAACAGACCTGATGTTGAGGGCAGCTAGCTAGCAATGTTGCCTCGCAGTGCTGGGGCTCTGGGTTCAGCTTTGGACCTGAGGTGCTGTCTGTGTGGAGTTTGTATGTTCTCCCTGCATATGCATGGGTTTCCTCCAGGTGCTCAGGCTTCTGGGAAAATTGTCCCTGGTGTGAATGTGTGCGTGTCTGTGTCTGTGTGTGCCCTTTGATGGACAGGTGTCCTATCCAGGGTGTACCCTGCCTTGCACCAGTGTCTTGCTGGGATAGGCTCCAGCTCCCCATGACCCAGTACTGGATAAAGTGGTTAGAAAATGGATGGATGGACTTCATGTAGCAAAACTGAAATCCCACTTGAAGTTAAACCCCTGCGGTGCTCCGAAGAGTACCAGGCGGAGCAGAAAAACTGTTCCACATCCTTGGCAACATAATGTACAGTGTCCTGGCTTGCATACCTGTCCATCTTCTTGATCTGTACCTGTATCACCCAGCATAGCTGGAAAACAATAGACCCACTCTGTCTGGAAAGAACCTGCAGTGAAGCAGCACTGTACATTTCTGGAATGAAAGAACATATATATAGTACATACTGTAATTACACACATGTATAGTACATAAACTGAAAAGGCAAACCCAAGATGAGAATAAAACAAATGTGAAGTCTTAAGCTTCAGCTTTGCGCACACAGTGTGTGCTGAAGTATTCCATCATCAAAGTGGATGTTATATACAGTATGTTTATATTCCCTCATGAAGCAAACCATGGAGTCTCAACACACCCTCCATTCACACCTCCCGATTCTGTCATTAATGGTATCTGATACTGAGAGCCTGACGTAGCTTTGCATTTCAGCGGGGCTCCGTGAAGTCATTGTTAAATAGCTGAGCATGAAAGAAAGGACCTGCAGACTGGTAACGCTAGCACAATCCAGGTGTTCAGATGCGGAATTTGGATTTCAAAATGATTTTTTTAAATCCAAAAGAAATAGATTTTTCAAAGGAAACCTCTATATGGTCTATATGTTGTGTTCTGGTCTTCAAACATTGGTTAAATGATACATAGAAAACAGGACTGATTTACATTATCCCCTGACAATGGCATTTGGAAATCCTGGTACTATGGAAGGGGCCTCCTACTAGGCCATCAATGCCACTTAAAACAGCAACCTCATTTTTCCTCAGAAGTTTCCAAGGCAACACTAACCGGACAAGATGAGATTGCAATTAAGTATATGTGCTGCTGAAGCCAGCACATCGTGATAATTCTGCTGCCATATCTACTGGGTCTTGTACCTTCAAAGATTCTTCTTTTGTTAACTATGAAAAATCCATAAAAAGATTCCTGAAATTGTGGTATTTAGAGAATATCAGACTTCCTTTCTGTTTCAAGTAGGGGTGAAGGCCTTCTATTTTAACACAGAAATTTCCTATTAATCTGATAATGTAAAGATGTAATTTGTGTAGCTATTGTTATTATCACCATTGTGCCATTTGGTCTCTGCTGTATTATTTAGATATAATATGCGAAACAGCAGGAATGGAGGATGAAAGGCAGCCAACAAGAAATAACTGTAAAAAACCAGCAGAGAATCCGTTTATCAGTTTTTTCCTACAAGTACTTCCTGTACTTGTCATGGCTTTGAAACTGTTGACTATACCGCACAAAACCATATGATCACATTTCTTCATTTTTAATGTTTAAGTGTATTTTACAATGTTAGAAGATGGCCATAATGAGCCCGAATTCCCAATATTGATACATCAAGCTCCAGACTGTGTTTTGCTGGTAGTACTTTCACATGAGAAAAAAAAAACATTTTATCGTTAACAGCAAAATGTTCTGTACATTTAGTTAATATGGTGCACTATAGTTGCTGTATCTCTCACAGTTATCTAACAGCTTTTTTTTTGTTCTGTGGAAGAAAGACAGTATTGGAATTGTGGAATATTCTGTGTTTATTACCCTTACTTCTAATCGTATTTAGAAAAAGATGGAGAAGGTGTTTGTTCTTGATGTGTGCATCATTTAAATATTAATCCACATAATCAAGGGTTACGTGTAATGCAGAGGATGTCTGAATATGTGTCTACGAAAGCTGTAGAAACCAAAGGTACGTTGTTATAATGTTTACATTTTGTGGAAGATGTGGGTCTAATGGCATCAGTACTGTGAAACCAGTAAAAATAAACATATTTTTCCTTGAAGACATCACCTCAAATAGATACAGAGTTTAGAAACATTTCACTTGAAATTGCAGCACAACGTCAAGCTGTTTTTGGCAGCCATTTGATTTTTAAAGGTTTCATTTTGTGGTTCTTTGTAGTATTTGATGTATAGTAAAACTTGTGCTACCAGCCAGGTTATTTCAGAAACACAAATTCCTGAAAAGGGCCTTCTGATCATATTGTGAGGAAGTGCTTAGAGTAAGCAAGATAACAAAAACCACTCCAAGAAGAGGAGGATGTGGAAAACGCCACTGTTTAGCCTGTTGGTCAGAGGCAAAACGAGGAAGGCCGTGGCAAGGCTGAGTGTGTGGGCTGCATGTGACTGTTTCACATGTTATAGGAATTTCAGCATGTTGCAGGTTGTTCCAAATTTCAGCATTCCATTGAAAGCTGTAATTAATGTTACTACGAATTCCAACAGATGTGAAAGACACTGCAGCAAGAAAACCTGGGTTGTCTGCTGTTGTGACACTTACAGTATATAACTGTACAGCTTTCATTTGCTTTTTTTATTTCCATAGCAGAACATTACCACAAGAACTCGTGATTGAATGTATCATTTTGTGTTACAATGAAAATTATCCACTTTCTGACTAATGAAATGTTTTTATGTATGTAGCAGATGAACAGAAGAATACTAAAGGGGAGAAAAGAGACATTTATAAGCATATTTGATGCACATCAAAATAAAATTTAATGTATTCACATATCACTTTTTGGACACTAGTGCATCTATATCAATGTACAAAATAAATGAATTCTATACCTTTGTGTCACCAAATAAGGCATGCATTCTTCATAATAGTTTTAGACATATATAGCTACAGGTCAACTCACAGTAGGACTCACAAACATTCAACCACAGTACACATAAAGCATACTGAAATGGGCCAACCACTTTTCCTCTCCAATACACATTCCGGTTATTTGTACAGTACATACAGCAGGGATTTAACACTACATCTAATTCACAAAAGCAACGAGATATACTGCAACTGGATTCGGGTTTCTGAACACTTCAATTCTGGCTTTATTCAGAGAAGTGATTAGGTGAATGCAAGACACCTTCATGCACCTCAAAATGATTTTGGTAAAAATCTTTGTTCAGGTCTGAGGGCATATCATTTATCTAATAAGAAACAGGTACTGAGTAACTGATTAAGTAGGAAATATAGAGTGAAACAGTACCACAGTACAAAGAAATGCAGCCGTGACTCGTGCATCTGACCCATGAGCAGGTCTTCAGAACACAAAAAGAATTATCATCGAACAAACAGCGCCCTCTGGTGGACGACCTTCACTACACTATGCACCTATTCCCACACCCACGTACTGAGACTGCCAGCTTCAGTAAAACTTAAAATTCTGAGGTAATATAAACATCTAGAATTTTATACGGAAATCCCCTTTTTCACTCAGCAATGTGAGGGGTCATAGGGTCATCAAAGGAGGGAGGTCATTTCGCTTCAGTTCTACTGAGACAGAGAATTAATTATAATAACAATAAAACCCGTTTAAAAATAAATACATCCTCAGGAATTTTGTTAAATAAGATTGTTCCGAGCTGACTTCCACAGAAATACCTATGCTTGTTTTAAAATGTTAAAATGTCTATTTAACTCAACACATATTGTTAGAAAACGGAACTATTTAAAGGGTGTCCATCCTGAAGACAGAGGTAGGCAGCAGCGTGGACTCAGAAACAGACCTACGTGAGACTGCCATGTCTGTGCCGCCGGAGCCGGCGCTGCTTCGGGCTGCACAGCGAGTCACGGCTGCAGGCTGCAGCAGAAGAAAAGTGTTCAGGAAGATGAGGACCGGGCTGCCGGGAGCTCTGGGCTGCTCGGCGGCTCATTTCTGCTGCTCCTGTTCCCGCAAGCGGCAGCCTACGGCCGTGATCAGAGCCGCGCCTTTCCCGCTGCCGTCTTCCGACAGGAGGAAGTTCACGCTGCACTTCGGGGCCAGCTCCTTCACCGTCTGGTGCATTATCTTCGAGAAGCTGGGGAGACAGGAAGTGAGTATTCCTCATACGGAGTCTACACATACCGTACCTCCGCTGCACAACCCGCAGGTTTAGAGCTGCTGTCCAACCCGCTGTGTCAGCCAGGAGAAATGAAGACAACATACACTTGTCCTCGGAAATATGGACATCTGCCTTCCTTTTTGCAAAGTGATACAGGAAGGTAAAATGGCAGGTCTTTCACATCAGGTGGAGAACAGACAACACCTTTAGTAATAACTGACTGCTAAAATGGGGAAAGACCGGCAGCCCTACAGTGGACTCTACACACAGCACATTTTAGATATCAATGCATCTGTACCAACAACACTCATACAGTGTCTCCTGTGCATCTTGTGCTGTAGCTGCGCCCAAACTCTATAAAACACAGTGTTGCTTATTTACAATGCGCGCACGCACACAAACCGTCTAACACCACAGCTATCGCTAAAGGATGTGCTATTTCATGACCTGCTACACTCAAACACTCCTCCTCCTCTCTGATACTGACTGTGGATGCAGCTTGTAGAGAGTCCCGTCAACCCCCACGGTGATGTCCAGCTTGTCCAGCCCCCGGTTCTCACGGATCTTGTCCACGACAGCGGCCATCCCGGCCCCACAGATCTGCGCCGCTCGGCGAGACACCGTGCCGCACACCTCCTTCACGACGATACTGTCGTCGCACGTGCTGTCCAGGCCCAGCTGCTGCAGGATGGCTCGGACCTGGAGGAGGGCCAGGCGGTCACTAGGAGACAAAGACACCAGCTTTAGAGTTAGGGACCTTCACAGACTGACCTTCTAGTGCCGCACTTCCAAGAGACAGCTGATGGATTCAGTACTAGTGCTCACTGGGCAGCCGGGACCGCTGTCGGCACAGTCATTCCAGAAGAGAAAGTCTGGCACCGGCTGCTTTGAAGCTGTTCTGTAGAAATTCCCATTGATATTAATAATATTTATACTGAATTTCCATTTTCCACAAAATAAAAAGCAGGGATCTGCTTATACATAAAACGTCTGTCAAGGTGAAGGATATAGACTCCATTACTTTAATTTACTCAAATACAATGCGTGGAAAAACTTTGACCAAAATATAAACTTGACAATGCCATCCAAATGTGATCTATCATTATCTTGCTTTATATTTACCTTTCTTGATCCCCTAAGGTGACAAATCAGGAAGAACAACTAGTTCAGCTGAATGTGTGCCAATTATTGTGTCTGACCATAAAGAGAACTGAGTACAAGATCTGGTGCCCTGAAGGCAACGCCACTCTCACCTCTCAATCTGGGACAGAAACTTCGTCTCAAAGATGCCTCTGGTCTTTAGCGTCTCAGAAATCTGACCTCTGAAGAGGAACCCCCTCTTTGTCAGGTCGATCAAAATGTTCCGCACAATTTCTCCCAGGTACATCCCACTACACATTTTTTCATATCTGGGGAACAAAAGGCAGATTTGTCCATTAACCATTTCAACAGAGACAGCTGGCCAACATCTTCAAGATGTAGTCACTAGTATTGGGTCTGACGATCAGACACAGGTGTGCTGTAACCACAGTCACCTTTGTTTCCCAGGATTCAGCGAAAGTTCGTCCACTGCCCGGTCGTACTGGGTCCTGATGTCATCCAGACAGCCGTTGTCTCCAAATGCACCCCACTCCATGTTGACGCACATGCGGCCCTGGTCTCCCTCCACTGTCTCGATGTTCCTCATCTCCTCCATGTAACACGCATTACTGCCCGTTCCTGAAACAGCAATCGACACATTCCTCCTGCTTATTATCTGAGCAAACCACACTTATTAATTGTGTTATTAACACAATACTTTCTCCTGCAGAGAGCACAACACTTTGCTTAAACTCTGTGAAAAGCATGCAACTAAATGAATCATTTGAATCATTTGTTAGAACATGTACATTGAAAAGTAGGCCCAGTGCCTAGAACATTTATTGCCATCAATGTCCAGGCAGTATGAAATTTGCACTGTGACAAATTCATACAGAATTAGGGAAAAAACTATTTCAGCAACTATTTTGTGTCATTGGTGAGGCTGCAGCAGCGAACACACAGAAACAATGAAGTACAGACTTGAGTGCAGAAGCCTCCAAGAACGTTGTGTAACATGCAACACATTTTTAATTAGACCCCTGTCTACCCAAATGAGGTTCTGCCAAAATCAGATCCAGTTTTACAAAACTCTTAACTTTTTTTGTCCGTGCATATTATTACAATATCATTAAAACTGTAGCCAGAACGTATATTTCTCTATTTTTCCCCAGGCTGTGAAATTTTGCAAGATGGGGTGACATTCGCTGTGGTAGTTAAAAACAAACGAGACGCAGATACAGCAACAGTGGAGAGCCTACCCGCAATCAGACCTATCTCACACGTCGGCTCCTCATACGCACACGTCATCATCGTCCCCACAGTGTCATTCACTATGGCCACAACATCCAGATCAAACTCCTTGAGACAACGAAGACAAAAACAAGACATGTAGAAAATGCTTTTCCGACCAACCCGATGGTTAGAAACACATCAACAGAAAGTCGCTGGCACACACTTGCAACATGTTCGAGGTATTTTGGAAAACGCTTTGGGTACATTTAAAAAATATATATTTTTACATATTTGCATAAGGCTTCGCATCACAGCAAGATGTGATTACATGTAGTACATTTTTTCCCCCGCAGCCTCAGTTTATATCCAACGCCGCAGCGCGTCTCAGGAGCATGCGGCTTTCTCTCACCTCTCGCCTCTTGATGCCTTCGCGGAGCAATCCCACCACGTCCTCCCCCTCGCAGTCGGTTGCTTTGAAGCCTTTGGTCCAATTTACAAGGATTCCCTAAATCGAGTGAAAAAACGGACCGTAAATACTGAGAAAAAAAAATCTCAACGACTCCCAGTCCTTTAATGCATTTCTACAGGTTATCCACTAGGTGCCGTAAGAACCGCAGCAAAGGAACTGTAAAACTGTCCAACAAGCGGTGCAGAGACCTTTCTCCAGCTACACTTGCAGACAGAATCGGGAAGACATGTAGATATTTGTGAGAACCATCAATGTCCTTTTTCAGTTGGGTCTGCTAATAACCCACTGTCCTCCAAAAATGATAAACATTTTCATCTTTTTGAAGTTCGGTGACAATTCAACCCACAAAAAAACACAGGAAAAACGCCATGAGCTCACCGCGTCTAGACTGGTCTGCTTGCATGGGAAAGAAAAGGTGAACCCCAGAGGCAGGCGGGCGTTCTTCATCCCCATGTAATCCAGGAAGTCCGAGATGCAGTGGACAATGTGATCGAACAGCTGAAAATAAAGGTAATTCAATGTCAACAAATAAAAATAAAAGTGAAAGACTGTTTTGTCCTGTTTAGTAAGGTAGCTTGCAATTTCATACTAATTCATGCACGCATTGTCGATCGATTATAAAATAACTTGAGACGTTACGGGACAGGTTTGTTGCATGACGTTTAAAAATCTTTGTATTTCATAACATTTCCTTAACTATTAGTTAACACAATTTTTTTTATTTTTTTTCAGTCCAGTCAGTGAAAACGAGAAAGGATCCCCTAAAAACCTAATTTAGAGACTTTGATGCTAATATTAATCTGGCTGGCATCTTTGATGTTCAAAATTTATTTTGTCATTGTTTTTTTTTTTAGTTTGTTGCAGATCAAACTTTTATTATGTGCTCATAATAAGAAACAAAATGTGCTACTTTCCTAAACAGCATCTCCATGGTAGCCTGTTGGATCTTAGATCTTTGACTATAGGATCAAGATTAATGCTTTAATTAGCAAAGAAATGATCTATATAAAGTGTTCAGAGAACATTGTTAGAAGACTCTCTTTTTAGATGAACTGATACTGATCATTTCTTAAAACTATGGGAGAAGAGGTTAATTCTTTATATTCATACAAAATTTAAATTCTTTAAATTTTTATATTTTTCCATCTATTTTAGGTGAAGTCATCAATCAAATCCCTGACAGATCCAGACTGGTTTTCCAGCATTGCCTAACTTCTTTGCTCCCACGTACCTCCTCTCCAGTTCCTTGCATGACTTCTATGGGAATGGCATATATTTTATTGTGCATCTCCACTGTGCGTCTCTTGCCACTGCGGATTTTGACCAGCAGCACCCTGAAGTTAGTCCCTCCCAGATCCAGTGCTAAGAAGTCTCCGTGTTCTGAAAATACAACCAAAACAGAGCCCGTGAAGCCCAGAGGAGAGAGCTGGCTTTCTTCTTGCCAGCCCCTAGCCCTGAGCACAGGGCCAGGTGATCAATGACATGTCTCTTTGTTCCAGTACTGGGGGAAAGCTGATGATGTAAAAACTATGCATTGCCAGACATGAAGGATTCCTGTCAGGCGTGTTAAACCAGTGGGGCAAGCAAACAAGATACAAAATAACTGGATAACAGATTAGAAGACCGAAACAGCCGAGAATAAATTAGTTTGTGCAAGCTTCTTCGCCACAATGTGTCGGTCACTGTATGGGCTTGCAATTCAACTGATGTGTTGACTGAACAGACTAGAAGAACAAATGATACTTACGAGTCACTTAAACCAGTTGGTCTGTTGTAGTTTCATCTTACTCTTGTTCTAATGTATGCCATTAATAAGCTAAATTAATTTGTGTAAAGACATTAAAAAAATTAACTCCTATAATTGCAGGGTTTTTTGTAAACTAAGGCCCCAGTTGTTTTGTCTTACATTCAGAGATACATGACCCAAGATGGCTCTAAATTGTTACAGCTATTTTTTCTGGAGGAAACAATGTCGTGTACCTGTATTAGGAAGGGCTACAGGAGCTATGAGATTGATTCTTGCAGGTATAGCAAACAGGGAACTGGTAAGGGTTATTTTTACAGGTGCTTTTGAGATTAACACAAGACAGTTTATTCAAGTAAACTGAGACAGATAGAACTGAGCCTTATTTAAAAATCACTTAATTGAACCCTTTATAAGTCTCTCCTGTGTACTTTACCGATATTACCAGGGCGATTGGTTTGAAAAGCACACATTAAGCAGAAAGGCACCTGTCCCATCAGGAGTGCTGCGCACGAAGGTGGGCAGCATCTTGACAGTGGCGGTCCCATGGGTCTTCTTGCCCAGCCCGTTCTCTATCTCTGTCCTCATCCTCTTCTTCACCTCCAGCAGCTGGGCCTGGGTCAGCCGGAACTCATCCATAGTCTGCTTGATCTGCCGGGCCTGATCCGCCAGCCGGTAGGCCACCGCCGTCACCATGGCGGCGCCCTTCCCGCTGCCGCTCTCGGAGAGCAGGAAGCGCACGTCCGAGTCGGGGACCAGCCGGCGCACCGTCTTGTGCAGGCGCCTGGAGTACCTGCGGAGGCGAGGGGGGTGGGGGACACGTCAAAAACCTGCAGCTCATAACATGGCAGGCAGCAACACAGCAGCGATCCTGCTCCAGAGTGCGTCAGATAACATGAAGACGCCGGTGTCGCATAGCTGCTGCCTGCTCCTGGGACACAGGCAACAGGGTTCCCATGAACCAGAGAGCAGCCACTGATGGCAACGACTGGGCGGACACCATGTGGGGGTTAAAGAGTGGTCATTGCTTTTTTTATACGGTAACGTAAAGCAGCACAGCAGCTCCATTCAAGCTGCAGTAATGTTATTTGCTGTGCATTTGTCTTGATGGACGTTGGCCTTTAGCTAGAAAAAAAGAATCCAGTTTTATCTGAGAGCTTCTCAGGAATCCCACAGTGCTGTGCAGTAGCATGTTCATTAATCTCACTAAAGAAAGAAGAAGAAAGAGAAAAAAGAAAAGCAGAGCAAACTGTATTTATAGAACTAAATCAAGTGAGACATAACAATGCTGTTGATCAGAGAGTCTCTGTTGTTCTGGGTAGTGAGTTTTACAGTTGTGGTGCTGTAAACAAGAAGGCCAGAAGATAGCCAAAGATAGAGCAATGTTATTCTTATAGGACAAAGATACCCTTGTGATATTCTAAATGTGCTTCAGACGACAACAGAGGTTTCAAACTTCCATTAAGGGTTTGATTTTAGAATCGTCTGCAATGGGAGGTGTGTGAGCATAAATTCCAGCTTTGTCACCGTTCAGCTCTAGAAAGTTCTGTTGCATCGATATTGTAATATCCGACAGACAGGAAAGTTCAGAAAACACAGTAGTCTTGTCTGGTTTTGGCTGCAAGTAAACTTTGTCTCATTATTGTGCTATTGAACCTCAAGCCCCAGATGGCTACTAATCTGACTAAGAGGCAACGTGCAAACATTGTATAGTACAAGTCACAGAATGGATCCCTGTGGAGCTCCCTAAATGACTGGGCCAACATGAGATTTAAAATAGCCTGACAGATTAGGTCCTGAGACCCAAAGAGAAGACAAACCACCAAAAGAAAGTACTGATGCCAGTCCATCACAGGGCACACATACAGTATGGACAACTTGGAGACACAAATGAACCCAGCCAGTATGTCTTCAGAAGGTGGTAGGAAACTGGAGCATCCAGAAAACCCCTTCCCACACAAGAGGAGAGCATACAAACCCTACAAAAAAGGCATTGTGTTCTGCAATCAAACCCAGGCCCAGTGCTTACTGCTGCAACACTGTGCTGTCTATTGTCTAGGACTAGGTCATTAGCTTTACTTTTTAATTACTGCTGACAACAGATATGCAAAGATATACAATGGTTAGCCAAACTAACAGCAGTATCACTTTATCTTGAACAATCCTGAAGAGGATTTGATCATAAAAAACAGAAACTGACAAGAAATACATTCAGCATGTGTTTGCAAATTTATTTTGCTTTAAGTATTTGGTACTGTTATGTTTTTTCCTAAAAATTCAAAAAGGTAATGGTTTTGTATGTTTACCATGACCTTTTTGTAAGATATTACCATTACAACAATGATACTGAACTAATTCTTAGGGTCTAAATGTCACTGAATCCCATTCAAAAATGCAACAGAACCTACAGGCAAAGAGTAATGAATGAAATACTGTTAGTAAAGCAGTGGTGCAGTGAACCAAACAACTATCCCTGGCACCCTTAGTCTTCATATTATACAGAAGGCTACAATTATCTATTTATACAACTAACATTTTCCCTGCAAATGGTAGTCTCAGATTTCAGAACTAACCTTTCAGATAATCTACATTACATCTGAGTAGTTATCTTATAAATAGAAGAGCTCAATCATGTACCCTGGGATTTCCAGAATGGAAATGAAACTGAATATAGTTTCTTCCAAACACTAGCTGTAAATGATGCACACTTTTTTGGAGAATGGCACAACAGCTGATGTGTGGTGAGCGTTCTGGCGCACTATGGCTGCCGTCGCATCATCCAGGTGGGGCTGCACATTGGTGGTGGAGGAGGGGAGTCCCCATTACCTGTAAAGCGCTTTGAGTGGAGTGTCCAGAAAAGCGCTATATAAGTGTAAGCAATTATTATTATTATTATTATTATTATTATTATTAACAGTGCTAGGGAATAAACGTCTTTATCAGTGCAGTAAAAGTGGGCAGGACGCAGCAGAACCAAGGGGTTTGGGAGCTGTACCAGGCAGCGACTGGTTCTCCTATGGTTCACATAAGGCATGGCAACAGTAGCGACCCGTCGAACTTACTGGGGGTGCATCTTGTAGAGGGAGCCATCAATGCCCACGGTGGTACGCAGGCGGGCCACGCCCTTGTTGTCCCGCAGCTTAGTGAGGATGGCGCCCAGCGTGGCGGCGATCAGGTTGGCCGATCGGAACGAGACAATGGTGCACACGTGCTGCACTGCGATGCAGTCCTCATGCGACGGCTCCACGCCCAGCCTGGTCAGGATGTCCTTCGCTTTGGCCAAGCCCTCCTTGCTTCTGCGAGGCAACAGTGATGGGGAGAGAGAGGGACTGAGGCTCACTAAACCTGGCACACCTGTAACGCCGAGATCGTTTCAAATCTCGCACAAAAGGTAACTGAAACATTTGTGGTGGTCTTTTGTCGGAAGATAGTAGACCTTATTTTGTAACAGTAGTGAAAAGAAGAAAAATGATAGGCCCCATTGAAAGAAACAAGGAAAAAAAGATTTATGATAATTTTACCCTTTTCTCCACAATAAAATACCTATTTACCAATAGTAATTTAAAGATTTTTAGGGTGTAGCTAGCAAAAGAAATGAATGGAAAATTATTTTTTTCCAAAATCAGGTCAGTGATTGGATTAGTAAGAGCAAGTGCAGCAAAAAACTTTTGATAGACATTGTATTTTTGATTTCCAGCATCATATTCTCCAGTTATTTCCAAGATCAGCTATTTTGCTCTGATGATCTTACTTTGATTGACGGTTTTAACTATGCAAACAGTTCTTAAAGGGGAATAAGTACAGGTTATGCAGCAGACAGTTCACTGCAGGAATGTTACAAAGTGATCTGCATGCATAGCTAATAGGTAAGAAGTATTTGTCGGCAAAAGGCAAAACCATCCTGAAGCCAAGAGCAATATTTGTATTGGATTAGAAGAGATGTATTCACAAGCCCACTTGTTTACAATGTAATAGTGCCTGTTGACCTCGCAGGACGTTTTGTGGCCTTATTCTGAATCGCAGAGAATGAGATCAATGTGATGCTGCACATACCTGGAAATTTAGTCTATTTTATGAGGTTTTACATGTTACGGTGTACATTTTACTTTCACTGTGGTTTGAATTGCACTCGTCATTGCAAATTCTTCTTAAACCCAAAATATTAAAATAGTGCAGTTCTCCTTTAATTGCTTGATCATGTTTTATATTCTTCAAGTCTAAATTTCCCATCACACACATTCAAACCATAAAAACTGCACATGCAAATTAAGTAAATAATCTTCTTACCAGCAACAGTAAAAAACAAAGTCTCATAGCACATTGTCTAAAAAATGTTAGTATCTAACAGGGATTTTTTGCCTCGGAAAATGTTATTCTACCTGTTTTTCATTTCTCAGGCCCTGTGGGAACACAGACGGAGAACAATTAATAGCAGATCATTACTTACTTCTCTATAGCTGACACGTGCTTTGTTTCAAATTTCCCCTTGGTGAGGAGCTCGGGGGTGATTCTCCCTTCAAAGAGGAGCCCTTCTTTGGCCATTTTCACAAGGATGAGGCGCACAAGCTCACCCATGTACATCCCACTGACCATCTTTTCAAACCTGGAGAAAGGAAGGCAGTAGATGGGGTGATATTCCAGAGATATCCAGTATACCAGAAATAATAATGTTATATATATAGTTTATACACCCGAAAAAGGCTTCACGGCCGAAACATTGTTTTCTTCCTTCTTTTTTTCAGCATGGAATATACTTATTACTTGTTCCTTTGCAGCCTACGCCTGCTGACACAGCTACCCACCTGAACTATATATAGTTTATGCTACTTAAACATACTGTATACTCTATGTGTATTAAAAACTGAAAGCACATCACCTAATATTAATTATTACATTTGAAATAAGTGTTGTAAAATAAATATCACTGAGTATTTAAAAAAAAAAGGTGAATCACAATGAACAAAACAGTGTTTCACACTCAGCATTGTTTTCTAGTTCTGGTTCTCACCGGATTGCTGTCCCCCAGGAATAAAGGATGAGGAAACGTTTAGCGAGTAATAAGAGGTTAGAGGGGATGAGTGGTAAGAGAAAACATTAGAAAAAATTCAAAAGTACAGTATTTCCATCAATACAGAATAGAAATACAGCATTGTGACTCTGAGTAATAACAATAAGGTTGTGACAAAAAGTAGATGAATTGTTATATCTCAATACCGTGAGCCAGTATTACTCTGGATCACAGGTTCATCATGCACTATATGTCACAAAACGTCTTACAGTTGTTTTCCTGGATTGAGGGATCCTCTATCAATCTCTCTGTCAAACTCTGTTCGGAGGTCCTCAAGTGAGCCGTCATCCCCAAACGCTCCCCATTCAGTGTTGATGCACATCCGGCCCTCGTCCCCTTCCACCAGGTCAATGTGCCTCATCTCCTCCATGTAGCACGCATTGGTGCCAGTGCCTGCGGGAGACCAGAGCCCAGCATGGTGAACCTGGTGAGTCTGTCTGTGGTACACCAGTCTGACAGCTAGAGCACGCTGGTGAATCTGTCTGTGGTACAC